CGGAATATGCCACAGAGATGACCTTAGGGCACAACTCTCCGATCACGGGTACCTCCTCACTGTTAACGTGCCACACTGCCTAGCCCCATGACGCGCCACAGGAGCAACAAGTGACTGTAGGAAGGAAGCACCCGGCAAACGGGGGCAGAGCAGGGAAGACTTACCTCCCAGCCCCTCCACCGAACGAAAGGCCGGCAGAGTTCATTCCCGCCAGGACGAAGTAGCCCCGCACCGAAGGAGACTCGCCCATGATGCACCTCATGTCCGGGGTGAAGGTCTCGGGGCAGTTCACCAACTTCAGGATCTCCAGGGTCTCCAGGTCGGGCATGCGACGCAGGAGGGAACTCAGCAGGGGCTCTGAGCCGTGAAAACAAACCCAAACACAGCCCTCAGCGTTAGGGGATTCAAAACCTTCCAACTCCTGCTTCCCGACTCCCTCGTATCACAGAGAACCTCCTGAAGGAGGCTTTCTCAGAAGAGCCAAATGGCCCGAGTCAGAAAGCAGAAACCATGCTGGAGTTAAGGGACAAACCTATGAAGTGCTTGGCATAAAGACAGAAAAAAGACACTCGTTAGAAAGGCGAGGAGCTGTGGAAGGGCACACAACACACAGGAGGACAAGTAAGATCGCTAAGGGACTGGTAGTTGGGGAAAAGCAAGGATTTCCCAAGCTGGAACAGCTACAAAAGACAGGTCACCAGCCTGTTGGAAAGTCAGCCCGGCATCTGGGAATTACTCCAGGGGGACAGTGGCAACAGATGAAACCAGACTGAAGCTGGCTGGTGGGTACACAGAGGGTTCTGTATACTATCCTCTGCACTTTTAAAAGTCTGAAATCTCCCATAATAAAAAGTTTATTAAAAAAAAAAAAAGTCCATTAAGGGTGGGAGAGGAAACTCTACATTATACACCATATCTTTGGAATCTGGGCCACAGGATTCTATTAACTATCTGTATTTCCTTTTAGTAAGGAAATAAAAAAATTACAAAATCAAGGGGCATACAAATACTGAATCACTGTGATATACACCTGAAGCTAACACAGTATCATAGGTCAATTCTTCTTCAATAAAAACAAAAACCAGCTAAAAGGGACACCTGGGTGGCTCAGTCATTACGCGTCTGCCTTTGGCTCAGGTCATGATCTGAGGGTCCTGGGATCGAGTCCTGAATTGGGGTCCCTGCTCAGAGGGAAGCCTGCTTCTTCCTCTCCCACTCCCCCTGCTTGTGTTCCCTTTCTTGCTGTGTCTCTGTCAAACAAATAAAATCTTTAAAAAAAAAATTCTAAAAGACTATATTAACAAAAAAATTCTGCTTTCTAAAAATTTAATTTTCCAAGCTGCCTACAAAAAGGTTTCCTCCTAGCCTAGAATTTTAGCAGTTGTTTTAGGTATAGTAATAGGCCAGAAGTCCCTTAACCAAGATCTTTGTCCCCAGAATCTGCTAACCTGTAACCACAGCCTTAGACAGGCAAACTCTATAGGCTACCCTCTGTGAACACCTCATGGGGCTGTTACAAAGATCGAAGAATGAACTCTTCTTGAAAATGCTTTCAAAAAGACAGCATCTTAGACAACACGGGGCATTACAGTTATCCCCTAGTTTACACACCAAAGTGATCCCAGTCTTCCTGCAGATTCTGAATCTCCAGCTGGTTCTTGCCCTCAGTGAAGATGGGCTTCGGGTTCTTCTCAAAGCCCCCAGACAAGATGCCACCCTGCCAGTTCCGGATATAAATCCTTCCGTCAGCATCCACAATAGCTGAGGAAGAGAAACAACAAGGGAGTGGGGGATAGAAGGTTTAGAGGTAGGCCAGCTCTCTAAATGCACAGAAAAAGCAGAACCCAGACACTCATTATTAGCTTTATTAGCCAAAGAGCATCTAGGGAATGCAGACCTTTCGAGGTCATGGGGGAGGACCTGCCCCTCTCAGATTCACAGGGGACACCGTTTCTCTGATCAGTTACCTAGAAGCTCTGACTGGTGCTCGCAACCGAACTAGGGCGCTGCCGCAGTGCCGCAGGAAAGCCTAGCAGAAAAGGGGGACCGCAAGCCCATTCTCGGGGTCGAGACCTTCCAGATGATGTCAAGCCCTCTCCTGTGGCACTCGGGGCCACGGAGCAACCGGACTGGAGCTCACCTAGAAGCCCTCTACAGTGTGTGTCGTTTCAGTCAAAAACTCCAGGTTACACTGCAAATATTCTCAGCCTGGACCTCTGGGTGGGGCTGCAGTCAGCTTACAAAATCAACCAACCAAAATATTGCTTCGGTGGAATGCCCATTTTGTCCATCCTTTCATAAAGAGTCCTTAGAGAAAAGGTAGAACTGGGTCGGCCTCCCCCGTAACACGCTCCAGAAGAGACGAGGCTCTTCCGAGCACTGTCTATCCTGAGGAGAAAGTCTTCCTTTTCAGAGGACAGGACAGTGGCAAGGAAACAAGATTAAAAACAAAGTGTAAGTCCTCACTTGGTGTGTTGCTCTGCAGAGGGCTCTCCAAGGGGCGAGTCAGAAGGTAGAAGTGTTCGCAGGCATGTAACGGGATACTAACCGGCTCCTCGTTGGACAGACCCAGCTCGTATGCCCACTACAAATGGACAGATTGATTTGTGGGTGGGAAGAGGAAAGAAAGACAAATGAGCATGTTCAGCCGCTTGCCAGAGCTTAATTTCAGGTGGCCTGTGTGTGCGCTTGCCCCAAGGTCAGGTGTGGGAAGCCAAGGTGCAGCCTGCTTTAGTTACGTGGGCGGGAGCAACATGGTCCTGTTTAAACCATAACAATTATTTTTAGACCAAAGAACGAGAGATTTAGCAACTCATAAAAGGAGCTCATTGGGGGGCAAGTGATCCCCTTGTAACAAAACGCCTGATACCGCCTGGTACCTACAAATCCCAGATACCGTCATCTGTGACGTTCGCAAGGCAAAAAGCACCCCAGGTCCTCTGAAGATTGTAGAGTGGAAGGCAAGGGACCAATCTGCCTTAAAAGTAGAAGCAGCTTAGTGTTCTGAACCGAACCCACACTCCCGACACAAAAAATAGCCCCGTGATTTGCTAGGTGGCAGGATGAAATGAAACACCAAAGGAGACCCAACGCCAAGGATTTCTGTCAATGCCCGACCATTTCACAGACTTCCTGGCACCGATTAACCCAGGGTGGCGGGAGGAAAAGGTCACCACTGGTGCTCCTCTCTGAGGACTGGCTAGAGGTCTCTGATTTAGAATAAAAGAGTTCTGGGGCACATGGGTGGCTCAGTGGGTTAAAGCCTCTGCCTTTGGCTCAGGTCATGATCTCAGGGTCCTGGGATCGAGCCCTGCATTGGGCTTTCTGCTCGTCAGGGGGCCTGCTTCCTCCTCTCTCTCTGCCTGCCTCTCTGCCTATATGTGATCTCTCTGTCAAGTAAATAAAATCTAAAAAAAAAAGAAAAAAAGAATACAAGAATTCTGAGGTTTCTAGTCCAAACAAGGAACAGGTGGTCCCTGATGACTGCTGAGGTCATCATTGTATTAACCTTACATCTCCATACCTAAAATCCCAGAGGTAACAGTGAAGTGAGAAAATCAGTGACCCAGTACGGTTGCTCACCTACCTGACCAGCACAGTTGACAAAATACTGGCACTCGATCTGTCCTTTATCTGTCTCCACACCAGTAACTTGACCTTTCTTGACCATTACGTGAAGAACACTGGTCCGGTCATAGATCTGGACACCTGTTCCAAGGTAAAGAAAGTTGATGCATCCATCCCCAAATGGCCCAGAATTAAGGTCTCTGTAGCAGATTCTCAACCCCTGAGAAACGCTGAAAAAGCCACATCAGTGATTTATAAAAAAACAAAACAAAACAAAACAAAACAAAACCTCCCAGGAACCACATCCCGAGACTGTATCAATGGGCCTTTTCCAAGACTTAAAACAGCAGGCAACTTTAGTACACAACTCCATTCCAGGAATCATAAAAGGGGCAGGGGAGAAAAAGTTCAAATAAAACACCTTAAATCCTAACGCACCCACACCATGAATCAGTTCATCCAAAGAGCAGAACACCGCAGACACTGGTTAGTCTTCCCCTCGTTCATTCCAACCCCAGGACACAACCGGCTGTGGATTTAGTCCACTTGTGTCTTTTGACCTTGGAGCTTCTCATGTTCTTGGGGGTGGGGGGAGTCTCATAAGCCTGAAGTGCACTGATCAGTACTAAAAGCAGTTTCTTAGAACTTTATTAAGAAAAATGTGGCCCTGAGAAAACATTTATTAACAGATAGTACATTCAAACAAACATTCTAAGAGGCAATGCTCAGAAACGGAAGCTGAACTGGTGTCACCGCCAGTTGTGAGACACCTTCTTATGTAACCTCTTCCTTCCTCACCCAGAAACCTGCTTACCATTTTGGGAGGCAGCACTGGCCAGGGCAAGAGCCACGTCAGCAGAGGACACCACGGCGTCCTCAGGAACATGCATGGCCCCCACCAGGTCGTGCACGTTGAGGAGAGGGTGAAGTTCGGCGACTTTCTTGGGAGAGATGATCTCAGAAGGGATGCCTATGACACTGCCGCAGAACACAAGGGGACAATGACATGCACAGCCCTCTGGCAGAGGTCAGTCTGACAGGAGCATCAGGACAGGCTTCTAGCCTCATACGTACTTCAGCCTTGAGTTGATGCGCTTCAGGGAGATCAGCCGGTCCTGAGTTTGGGCCAGAAAGACCGAGCCCGTCCTTATGTAACCTGTAAGGAAAACCAGCCCAGACTGAGCAGCCCAGGCCTCCCGCGGGGGTCAGGGGGGCAAGCCCCCTAGACTGTAAGTTCGAAGACCAGTGAGGGGTCCTGGCACCACCACCACTCAGACATCCTCAGCTAGGGTTCTGGGAGGATCGAGTTGGATTTTCATGTACATCTTAAATAACCACTCGTAAAATAAAAATGAGAGATACTGTTGCTACAAAGCTTTTCGAAAGGGAATGTACCCCAGAACCCATCTCCTTCTTCAGTCTTTTCAGCTTTCCTCCCCGTGGTTTTGGTGGGCGTGTGACCCCGAAGCAGGCCACTCACAGCACCGGTGCCCAGGGGCTGGGCCCTCATCTCTCACTGCAGCACAGCGAGTGGGCTCAGCCCCCCAGACCCTCCCGGGTGGGATACTGGGTCTGGAGCAAGCGGGGGACTGGCTGGAGGCCGGTCATCTCAGGAGCAGCAGCATCCTGGCCAGACGGGCCCTGTTTCAGCTGAGGGGCTGCCTGCACTGGGTTCCCCCTGGTCCAGCCTCTATGCTCCCTCCTCCAGCTGGCAGCCTCCTGCCAACTCGACTGGCTCCCATGGCCTTCCGACAAACTCTGTCCAAGTTGGCCGGAGTCAATTCCTGGTCTTCGCAGTCAGCATACCTGACACAACCTTGATCGCGCTTGGGTCAGTGACAATCTCCCTAACGTACTTCACTCTCAGTTCTGACGATGAAAAAGCTAAATCAATCAGGCCATCTTTTTAAAAGACGGCACAGGAGGATCTCTTAAATATATTTCTCGTCTCTTTTGATATCATCAGGTAAATATGCCCTTCCCTGACACGACAAGAATGTCTCAGTTCAGAGATTACATTTCAGAGACTGGTTTTTAAAGACTGCAGACAGACCAGGCCAGCGCGGTGACCGTGGCCAGTGAGGGGAGCTGATCACGCGGAGTCTCGCCTGCAGACACGGCTTTAGCAGTGACTCCCCACTCCCCAGCAAACAGTCCCCCGGGAGGACAGGGCCGCTGGGCACAAAGCTGCACATCACAGCACACGCATGAGGCCAAACTGCGCTCTTCCCAACAGAACCACCGGCCACAACAGTCTGTCACTGCTTCACAAGCCTCCCTGTCCACGGTCTTCCCACAGAGGACTTTTAAAGCTTGGTCTAGAGCTTCCTGACATAAAATGTGCTTTATCCCAGGTTTGAAGCCATAACATAGAACTGCTCAGGTTTGCTAAGAGAAGGTAGGCATCTGATATTAAAAAACAAGTCAGAGAAGAAATACAAATGGCCAACAGACCTAAGAAATAATATTTAAGTGGTAAAGATGCAAACTGGAATCTGATAACTTTTTCCATCTCTCATATAAGTAAAAATGAAAATAATACCCAACATGGGGCACCTGGCCAGCTCAGCTGATAGAGCACGCAACTCTTGCTCTCGGGGTCATAAGTTCAAGCCTCACGTTGGGCAGAGAGATTAGTTAAGAAGAAAGTAGAATGAAAACACCATATGTAGGGGTGCCTGGATGGCTCAGTGGGTTAAAGCCTCTGTGTTCAGCTCAGGTCATGATCTCAGGGTCCTGGGATCGAGCCCCGCATTGGGCTCTCTGCTCAGCAGGGAGCTTACTTCCTCCTCTCTCTCTGCCTGCCTCTCTGACTACTTGTGATCTCTCTCTGTGTCAAATAAATAAATTAAAAAAAAAAAACACACACCATATATAGTACTGAGGAGACGCTGAGGCAGTAAGAGCGCTCACACACTGCTGGTGACGGGTAGCTCTTTTGGGGACAGATCTGGCCATACCTATCAGAGTTGTAAATACGAACGCTTTTTGCTCAAATCATGAACCTTCTAGAACTCTTTTAGAAATAGCAAGAGAAAACAAATGCAGCCTACAAGGATCTGTACTGCATCACTCCAACAACCAAAAAAGGATACTATGAACATCAGGTAATGGGAAGTGGACAAACCAATGGCGCATACTGGGGTACCCTCCTCCGCGATTATGAAAGGCAGACTGTTTGTTTTTTTTTAAAAGATTTTATTCATTTATGAGAGAGAGAGAGAGAGAGAGCGCATGTGCGCATGCAAGCATGAGTGGGAGAAAGAGGCAGAGGGCGAAGCAGGCTTCCCGCTGAGCAGGGAGCACAACCGAGAGCTCAATCCCAGGACCCCGGGACCATGCCCTGAACTGAAGGTAGATGTTTAACAGACTGAGCCTCCTAGGCACCCCAAAGCACTTATTCACATGAGCTGGCTCACAGAGCCCTCATAATACGCTTTAATGATTATTAAAAATATTTTTGTATTTAATGAAACAAAAAATGAACATATACCAAACAATTCCCAATACAAAAAGATGGTACTAAGAACATATGATGAACTGATAATCACCAACAAAAGGTAAAGCAAACTTTGAAGACACAAGATCTGCATGGACTGCCTCATCTGAAGTAGTGACGTGTCAGATTAGTAAAGGAGAAAAGACAACCCTCACATAAATGCACTCTGAGGATTAGCGTGTAATATCCGGAAATCCAGCTTGTACACAGGTCACGTGTCTTCATTTAATGGCTCAAAACCAGTCCCCCGACTGACCCCTGCGCATCCTGCCGGGTAACAGAATTCTCCGTTGGGGACCCCACGTCCCCTTTCCGCTGCACCACGGCTGAACCGCAACGGGGGTGACAGACCAGCGTGACCCCTGGACCCTCCCCGGCCTGACTTCCTTGCTGCCCTGCAAAGCACAGGGAGACACCAGGCCCAAAATGCGGTTCCAGGAAGTGACCCAGAACTCAAGTGAGATGAACTTCCCTTACAGGCAAGAGGCCCACGACCCGGGTTCCTCTCGCATCCAAGCAGGTAAGCGATGCAGGGCTCGGCAAAGCACGAGGAACCGAACCCGGGACCACAAGGCGGCAGTTCCGGCTCGGGGCCCCCGAGGCAGACCCTCTCCCGACTCCAACTCTGCTCCCCACCTGATTCAAGTACCCGTTGCCCCCAAATTAAATCCAACCCAAAGGGACCCGCTCCCCCATGTCCTGCACGCAGCAGCCATCCTCCGTGACAAAAGCAGAGGTGGTGAGGAGCAGGGACGCCTTTTACTATCTTCACTCAGAGTCCGCGCCGCTCCAGGGGAAGCCCGGCCAAGTCTGAGGACACCGAGGGCGGGCGGGGGGGGACACCAGGCTCATCCACTGGGCAGAGGGCCACGGCCTCTTCCCTCCCCTCCGCCAGCTCCTCTCCTGGCATCTCCCCTCTGCACGAACACAGCCACCCGCTCCCAGTTCCCAGACGCTCAGTCTTGATCCAAGATTTACACGCGAGGGGACGCTTCGCCAGAGTAGGAATCCTGTGAAAGGGAAATGCCATAAAACCTCAGCCTGTCGTCAAAACTTGGAGTACGTCAACTCTCGCCTTCCCAACGACAGCCGTGTCGCGGGTCACATAAGCGCTGAACGGGCAGCGAAGGAGACCATCCGTGGTGCTTACGCTGCGACCCCCGGCAGGGCCGCGTCAGCGGGCGAGCACGTCAGGCTACTACCGACCTTGCCAGGATCGGCCTGGAACCATCTGGGATCTGAATTACGTGGGTCTTCAAAGAGCAACCCTGACGGACACGGGCGTCCTGAATTTTCAGCTCTAGACCCCGCTGCTCCCCCAGGACAACTCCCGTGGCCACCGAACGGTTTCATCAGCCCCTGGGCTTCCGGCCGGTCCGTCACCTGGCGACACGCGGACAGACATGCGTCTACCTTGTGACCGTGTGGGGCCGTCCCGGGGCTCGGCCCTCCCCTTCTACTTGCTCCGGTCATACTTAGCTCGCGACTCCCTGGGGTCCTTCCCCTTGACCACACGCATGAGGGGTAACCTACGTTTAAGCTCTTTGGTCAGAAACAGCCTTCAGAGCAACTGGGCAGGTGCCGCGGCTCAGAGCAACGTCACCATCACGCACCGAACCGGGAGCAAGTCCTCGGCGGCTTCGTTCAGGAGCCACGTGTGGCCACTTGCTAGACTTCAGCGAGTGAAGTCACAGCAAATGGCCCAGGGAGCCTTTCACATCCTGAGGATGACAGGCTCTGCAAAGGATCCGGGGTGAGGACGGATCCCCTCGACCGGCGGGCAGGGAAACGGGACACAGCGCAACACGCTGACAGACTCGCGCAAGGAAAAGACCCCGGCGAGTGGCAGTGCCCGGTCTGGGACTCAAGCCCTGACCACCGAACCCACAGGCCGACGCGGCGCTGGGCACAGACGGCCCGGAGCCCCGGAGTCCGCGCCACAGGCGGACCGGCGGGCGGCGGATTACCTGCTTACCTGTCTGGATGCCCGTTTCTTGCTCTAACTGGTGGTAGAGCTTGTTGGAATAGTCTGCCATCTTCTGCTCGATGGTCAAGTGCCTGGCGGTGCTCAAGATGCCAGCACAGAACCTCGTGGAGCCAGCAGCCAGCCTGCAGGATGCATCCAAAATGCCATGAGGTGGACTCACTCCCACAGCGGGACGGCAGCTAAGTCGGAGACCCCCATTACGGCATCGTCCGTCAGCTGGGAAGGCGGAAGCCACCTCCCTATCCACCGACAGGAGCGGCACCGAGCAGCCCGGAGTCTCCTCTACGGCGGGATACTCCACACGGGCACACAAAAAGGAACGAGAGAAAAGCTTTTCTGCAACAATACTGAACAACCCTAACGAGCCAAGCAAGGGGAGGGACGCTGTTTAAGGTGCGCTACCAGCCCGAATAAAAACGTATAAAAAAATAACAAACGAATGCCCAGGTACACACATCCGAGCTGACCGATATAGACGCGCCCATATGCGCGGGGAGCATCTAGAACGATACACAAGGAACTTAACTTGCCTCCAGCGAGGGAAACTTCCAGCTAGAATCGGGGAGGGGGGGCAGATTTTCCCCTGTGCACTCTTTTAGAATTTTCACTGAGTCGCGTACATGTACTGGCTACTCAGAAATAAATACAACAGACGTGTTAAAGATCATCCACTTTCTGGTAGGCAACAGCACAGAAAGGGGACATTCGGGGAAAAGTGAGGCAGCCTGAACAGAGCATGAACCTCAGTTAACCACTGCGGCACCCGCCGGATCCGTGACATTCTACCGGGACCCCACTCCGCAACGCGCCTCCTGGACCGAGGCGCACGGCACAGCGCACGGGCACGCCGCACGACCTTCGCGACTGTTCCGTCCCTTTACCACTGCACTCGAGTGCGTGAGCCCCGTGAAGGAAAGGAGCAAAGACCCGCAGCCTCTTCCAGCTCGGCTCACAGAGGAAGCTCCCGAGCCACAGGGCTGGTGTTGCCGTGGACGACAGTGGAGAGGACAAGACGGCGAGGTGCGCCGTGACCCTGAAATGAAGCGTGCCCTCTCAGGAGACCTGCCGTGCTGGAACTGGGCAGCTCGCTCTGAGCCGAAGAACACGGGCATAATCATCGCAAAACCGCGTCCAGGAGCCTTTCTGTGGCTCTTCTCCCGCTACTTAGCGCCAGTCATCCTGGCTACTGCTGGGCCCGTGTTACTGGGAGGGGAGGGGACGAGGGGAGCCCGAGCAGTGGGTGCAACGCAGCCCCACGCCACGTGCGTCTGCTCCTTACCTGCCCTGCTCCAAAAGGACAATATCCTTCCACCCCATCTTGGAGAGGTGATAGGCCACGGACGTGCCCATGATCCCGCCACCGCAGATGACCACCTGCGCCTGGGTGGGCAGGGCGACGGAATGCGCCTCGGAGGCCGACACGCCGCTCCTCCCCGACGACCAGTTCCGCCATCCTCGGCCGGGCCTTTGTCTTCGGACCGCCGACAGCAACCGGAAAAACATCCCGTCTGTCGGCAGCTCGGGGGTGTGCTCTCACTCGGCTACGGCGAGGTCCCCGACATTCACACTAGACGGAGAAAGCAGCCAGATTTCATTCCCCCGTACTCCGTGCTCAGGATTACTGAGAAAGGGAGAGGAGGCGACAGAGACCAGCTAGCCACACTTTCTGCCAGCGTCTGAGGCCCTGCACAGTTCCAGATGCTTTGCCAGCTGTAGAGACAGCAGGGGACGACGACACCTTTATGCAACTTTCATTAGAGACACAGAGCACAAGGGGGCGTCGGAGTGTCTGCGAGGGTGCCCACGCAGGGTGAGGATGCCCACGGCAGGGGCGGCCCGTACCCAGATCAAACAAGGAGCAAAGCCAACGTGCTGGAATAACTGAAGTCATATGCCAAATAGGATGGACGGGAACAAGGGGACATTGGAAAAGAGACCTGATGGGGACAGAAGCACAAGCATGTGCAAAGGCCCCAGTGGGGGGGGGGGGCAGACCTTTAGAAGTCCCAGCACAGAAAGGAGGCCAACGTGCCCACAGCATGATCAGCGGAAGGGACCCACGACAAGGCTGGAGAGGCAGGCAGAAAGCGAGGACACACAGCCATGGAAGCCATCGGGACGAGCTGGGATTCCACTACAAGTGCAAAGGAAAATATTGAAGCAGGGAATGAAATAATCGGATATGCTTTTCCAAGATCAGTCTGGCTCCACCGCGGGAGAGGACTAGAGAACAAGAGGAAAAGCAGGGCTGGGAAGTGACCGCCATAGTCCTAGAGGGAAGGCACGGAGACTCAGAGCAGGATGGTGGCAGTGGAGTCAGGCAGTGAGTCCAGAGCAACTGGACTGTTCTGGACGCGAAATGACAGAACTGACTTGCCAACAAACGGGTTGTTAAAATGGGGCAAGGGGAGAAATAAGGATGATGGCAGAGTTTCTGGGTTAAGCAACCGATGCCACTTACCACAGTGTGAAGGGCTAGGGATGGGGAGGGAGGCGGGGAAGGAGAGTGAGCGAGAGGGAGGCTGTGAAGGGCGCAGGCAGGCAAACAGCCCACCCTACGGGTTAAACGCAAGACGCCTGGTGGGCATCCACGGGGAAAGGAGCAGCAGCAGCCAGACATCCAGGCCTGAAGCCAAGGAACAGCGCGGCTATCTGGAGACACAGCATGCTGAGGAACAAGAAGGACCCTGAGGCTCCCCAGCAGGCAGAGCTTGGGAAGAGGAAGAAGTTCCGGGCAGAGGACAGAGCACTGGGGAGACAGACAGCATCCAGACAAACAGACATGGTTCAAGAGACAGAGAAGGAGCCGTGGCGAGGCAGAAAGAGGCCTGGGCTGTGGGGCCACAGAAGCCAAGAGAGGAAAAGGGCTTTAAGACGCTGTTCCCTACAGAGGGTGCCTGAGGGTGCAGCACGACGGACAAGGGTCTGCTGGGACAGCAGAGGTCCTTGGTGTCCCCAAGAAGAAATTCCCAGGGGAGTGCTCGGGATGAAACCGGGGCCACAGCAAGCTCCCGAGCGAGGAGATGAGGGAGTGAGGACCGCTCCTTCACTTTCTGTTCTGAAGGGAGCAGAGCACCAGCCAGCAGCAAGAACGGGAGAGAACAAGGTTCCTGGTCTCTAAAGGCACGGGCCCTGAAGCCTGTTTTACTGCTGGTGGGAAGGGCCGGGAAAAGGCAAAGAGGTGGGTCCGGAAGGAGAGGTGGTGACAAAGAATGAGGTCCTGGAAGAGGAGAGAGAGGACCCAAAGCCGCGGCGAGAGACGGCGTGCTCTGTGTCTGCACGGGCCGTGGGCTGGAGGGAGACTCAAGGACCGGCAGGCCCCTCCCAGATGCAGGGGTGGGTGAGTCCGGCTTGGCTTATCCCGCACCCTCGGGTGTCACAGGCTAGGACCAAAGCACACGTGGCTATGAGGTGACCAGCATCATCAGAGAAGCAGAAGGGGATGGGATCGGGTCACCAGGGACAACTACTCTCCCAGCAAAGCAGAGGCCTGTTCAAGGTTCAGGAAACTGCAGAGGGACCTGCCGGGAGACGGCAGGGTCACCAGCGTGGGGGGGGAGGGGCACTTCCGAGGAGAGCCCCGGCAGACAGCATGCCCAGCAGCATGCGGGGCCCAAACAGCCCAGCTCGCCCAAGGCCAAGGTGAGGCGCCCATCCGCCACAAACATCTCAGAACAGAGTCTGAGCAAGGCCTACACCGTGTCCCAAGTCAAATGGTATCCAACCAGGGCTGATCACTCGGCCACCTCGTGGTAGTCACCAGGCCTCCTCGCACCCCTGGTCCCTGCCCAACGGTCTCAAGACAGAAGCTTCTTCCTGCAACCTCATGGCCACAGGACCGACTTCTGTGCTTCTGATCCTCTCCAGACCTCAGACCCCACCTCTTCTCTTCCTTCCTTCAAAGCAGGTAACCCGGCTCATCTCCTCCCCTGAAACTCCACCGACAATCCCACTGGCATCTGCAACCATCACTCCTTCCCTCAGAGGGTCCGAAGTTCATCGCCCGCAAGAGCCCCGCAACCCTCCCCCTCCTGCCCGGGAACCCAGGTCCGTGAACCCAACTCCTCCTCCATGTGCCTTCAGTGCCCTCCTGACCCTCAGCGTTTTCACATGCTCAAGTCCTCCCACAACCCACTGAAGAAACAAAACAAAGCCTCCAAAAATGTCTTTGAGTAGCGATTTTTCATTTGTAAAAAGTCTAAATGATAAAAAATATGGTCTTGGCGGAAAACACAAACATAGAAGGCAATTATGATTCCCCATCAGGGTGCCTGGGTGGCTCAGCTGGTTGAGTGTCGGACTCTTGGCTTCAGCCCAGGTCATGGTCTCAGTGTCAGGGGATCGAGCCCCGTATCGGGATTCTCTCTCCCTCTGCCCCTTTCCCCACTCACAGGCACATGTGCACATGCGTGCAGTCTCTCTCTCAAATAAATGAATAAAATTTAAAACGATTTCCCATCATACGAAATAAGCAGTCCCGTGTGCTGCCCTGCTCTGCACCCGAGTGCCGCCGCCTGACTGTGTCCTTCTTCCCTTGTCCCTCAGTGATTGCACGGCCTGCCGGCGGTCAAGCCAGAGGTGACTCTTTTTTCTGAAGATTTTATTTATCTATTTATCAGAGAGAGAGAGATCGTGCACAGGCAGGGGGAGTGGCAGGCAGAGTGGCAGGCAGAGGAAGAAGTAGGATCCCCGCCTTGAAAAGGTCCCAATGTGGGACTGGGTCCCAGGACCCTGGAATCATGACCTGACCTGAGCCAAAGGCAGCCACTTAACTGACTGAGCCTCCCAGGTGTCCCGAGCCAGAAGTGACTCTTACCGTGAACTCACAACCTGTCTTTTCACTTGACGAATACCTTCAGGAAAGGGCTTCCTGTATGATCTGTCCCCCCCCCCCCCCATTTCCTGTCTGTCCCGAACCCAAAGCCGTTGGGCTTCTGTCCCCCCGAACTAGGAATGCTGCTCTCACCAAGAAGGCTCATGTTGCCAACTTCTGGAGACACCGGCCCCTCCGCATAAGGTCCTCTTCAAGCACCGCATGTCGCCCATCGCTGCCTCTACTCACACCCGCTTTCCTGGTTTAATCCTGACTCCTACTACCCTGGCCACGTCATTGCTGGCTGCTCTCCCCTGTCCATCTTTCCGAGTCCATGTCCCTCACGGCGCTCTGGGACCAGCTACTCCCCTCGGTCCCCTACTCTCCGGGGGATTTCACTGCCTACCGTGACCGAAGGGCCCAACCCACAGCGGCCCCAACATTTGCGTCTGCACCTCCAAGGGAACAACAGCAAGTCCGCTTGGGCTCCCAGAGGTCAAAATGGGCACATCCAACAGGGAAACCCATCCTCCTCAATCTCCAAATCTTCTCCATTTCTGTGTCCCCAGTGGGACTCCATATACGAGAACCCTGGCGTTACCCTGGGCTCCTCCTCTCTTGGCTCCTCTATGCAGCCAACCTGCAAGGACTAAGGATTCCACAGCTTCATTTCCCTCAGGTGGACCGACTTCTCCCAGCCCCCCGCTGCGGCTACCAGAGTACAGGCGGCCACTCGTGCTCAGATTACCGCAGAAGCTTCCTGAAAGGGCTTC